CTCAGTCGGTGGACTGGCATCCTTACGATGAGACCCTCCTGGCTGTGGCATCGGCCGATAACACAGTGAGTCTGTGGGATATGAGTGTGGAAGCTGATGATGATGAAGAGGCTCAAGGTAGGGAGGGGGCTCAAGTAGTGGATGTATGGTCATCGTGGTGGTTTAGGCGGTCAAGGGCATCTCGAAGGGGAGGAAGACTACCCGGCACAGATGATGTTCCTGCATCAGGGCCAGACTGGGGTGAAGGAGGTCAAGTTCCATCCTCAACTACCAGGGGTGAGCCTATTGGAGTGCCTAGGAGGGGCATCCTCCTAAATGCGGAAATCGCGCAGATTTTTTGGAAAAAAATATCTTTGTGAAGAGCTCTTTTGAGACAAAACCGACTTCAGAATCGAACTCAGCGATGTTCATTGCGTAAAAAACTCCGAACGGCCCGTCCCTGCGATTATCCCCACCTTAGAGCCGAAAAAATCCACGCGTGTGGGCTTCCATTGAGTTGCAAGAAGTTGTAGTGGACGACTTCAGAGCTATACTCTTTCGCGAGTCGTTTCACGTGTGGTCGATATGGTTTCGAGGGAATGTGGGAACTGGCACTCTCTAGGACAGTGTAGGGATAGGTGTTTGTTTGTCTCAGCTGAGCTCAGGAGTTTGTATACGAATTAGGATAGAGGTGCTCAGAAACCAACAAGAATTTCCTAAAACTCCCATATTGTCATCAACACATGTAGTTGACCATATGCATATATTTCCACACTGGTCTTGACAGTACCATTCGCGGCCCCCCATTATGAAGATTTCAGGTTATGGTCACCACGGCATTGGATGGCTTTAACGTGTTCAAGACGTGTAACATCGATTGAGCCTTATAGCAGCAGCAGCATTGACAAGCACTGACTACCAACCCATTTACCTCCCTTATCTTAGCCGGAAAAACGTTTCTTCGATGCTCGTGATGGTTTGTATTCTACCATTGTTGTTGGGGGTCGTATAGGGAGAGTGTGGAGCGGTGGGCTGGTAAGGAGCTGTGGTACTTCGGGTGTGATTGAGGAAATCAGGGATGGGAGATTTCCGGGTGGTGTTGTGGTAGGATCGTATGTGGGAAGTGATTTGTGTGAAGCTGTTGAGCATGTCCTCGGTCGGTTAAGTAGCCGTATTGGGCATCTCAGGAGAAGAAGGCTGGAAGAGGCCGCCAATGGTGTATGGGACGCGGAGGAGATCTTGGTTCTCCCCCTACGACAGCGTTCGGAGGGATGGGTGTACTCTCCCTCATGGGGTTTATGGCTCTATCCCAGTGGGATGAGCCCACATATTGTTTTAGTCGTGGCCGTTCATTCCAAGCCGAGCTACTGAATGCCATTCTTATTCTGTCTATGGTTATACCCTTAGTTATACCCCCTCCTTTGCAACGATGAATGTGGACGTCTCCCCTTCACCACCCATTCAAGGCATTGTGGACAGCTTGGGTGGTTATGCGACTGTTGATGCAAGTGGTAGATATGGTAGTGTCTGCCGAGTTGACCTTGGGGATCCAGTCATGGTGTCTGAGAGGGACCAGGAGAGGTCCGCTCTGGGACCTGATCTACTCAAGTATGAGCGTAAAGAGCTACTGAGGGTGTCCAAACGCATCAAGGTAGGGCTACCTCGGTCTCTTGTTGGACTGCGGGAAGTGGGATATGCTCTCAGACGAAGAGTGCCAGCAGGGCCAAGCAGTTGGCGTTGCGCACGCGTGCAGCGGCAGCGGCGGCGGTGGCAGCATCGAAACAGCAGGTAACGGTTGGGGTTGGTTATGTATTTGATTGCACTTTATATGGAATTTTTAGAAGGATGCCGGTGGCAATTCAACAACAGCAGCAGTGGCTCAACGAAGCACGGCAATAGGTGGTGGAGTGGCGCAGCACCCAAAGCGGTCGTCTGGAGCTAGATTACAGCATGCTAGGATGCTCGAGAGATACGGCGATCTTACTAGGCTATCATTGGAGACTCAGAGTGAACTGGAGGACTCTGATGGGAGAATTCAGAGGTTGGTCATGGGATGTTATCGCTGATACTCCGAAGAGAAGTGTGATATAGATTTGGAATTTTCTAGTAGCATAAACTGTCATAGGCTGATCATCGTTATGGTTGAGGGTCACTCGGTTTCCCGATGGGGAAGGGGATAGTTCGGAATAGGTAGAGGAGTTGATGTTATTGACCTTCTCTGGTTGTCCTGGGTAGTGTACAGTTGTGTATAGGTTGTTAAAGCGGCGATCAGCTTTGTCGGAGCAGAGGGTTCAGATCGATAGAGAGGTGACGGCATTGCAAAGGAAGATGAGAGAGATAGTAGCGGCGAGTATGGTGGAGGCAGCGGCGAGGACCACCACCACCACCACAGTAGTAGGAGGCCACTCCCAGCAACAACAACAACAACAACAACAGCAACAAGCTACGACAGAATCTGAGTAAGCTTGCTTTCTTGTATGTCTACACTCAGCAGCTGTTTTAGAGAGTCGCAGAGACAGCCTCGTCGTCGTCGTCATCTTCGTCGATATCAACACCTTCTCCTCCTATTCAAGAGGCACAAGTGGATGATGCTGTTGAGGCTCCTAAACCAACTCATCATGTTACTGCCAACCCCCACTTGAATAGGGCGAGGGCACGATTAGGTCGCTTGGCTAAGCGGTGGCAGCCGACAGAAGATCGTGATAATAAGGTAGGAGTCCGTATGGTTGTGGAGGGAGTTTAGTGTATAGAGGTTGGGACTTGACTGCTGGTCGCAGAGGTCCATGGTTCAATCCCGGCATACCGCATTTTGCCTACTTCATAATTTACCCACCTGCTTTTCGTGTGACATCTGTGTTTCCATTGTAGCTGGAGGAGGATCGGGAAGAAGCCGAGAGGATATTATCACAGCGGCACCCATCACCTAAGCAAAAGGTTCGTCCCCCAGAGATATCGATCGACATGGCGAGCGCTGATGTCGATGAAGAAGACGAGGAGTCTGGTGAGGCTCGGGATAGTGAGGGAGAAGATATGGAGATTATGACTGAGGGGGAGGACTCGGAGGAGGATGCGGTGATGGATGACGCGACGGAGGAGTCGGAGGAAGGCAGTGAGAACGGCCAGCAGCAGCAGCATGGTGATGATGATGTTGACGAGGGCCACGAATGAAGTTCAGTAGTTTTTCATAGTAGATGAGGTAAGTGTGGTGACTGGTGACTTGCTCGATGTTGCCATTTCTCAGGGATATAGACCCGTAAAGGTCTTGGATTCCTCGTACCACTATAGAAGCCAATAAGATTAGTTAACAGTTATACTACTACTATTACTATTGTCCGCAATCCAAGCCCTCAGCGGACACCATAACAACAAGAAGAACACTAGCAGGGAGGGAGCAGTGGAAGGACTTGCCTCGGATGATGTTACAGCAGCAGCAGCGGTGGTGGTGGTAGCTGTGTTAGTCTTGTCATCAACCCACGGCATTGTCACAGCCATCCCCGTCTCATGCGTGCTACCATTGTGGGTATAGTGTTGAGGGGGATGGGGGGGGGCGAGAAGGTATGTTGTTCCGTTATAGGGCAGGGAAATATTACCCTCTAGAGGGGTAAAATGAATTGAGTACTGCATAAAGCGTGTGCCTTTGTATAGAATAGAGTATTCGTGGAACTAACCACGAGGGATTTCGAATCTGCTATAGAACGATGTGCGGCCGACCAAGACGATAAGATTGTCATGAATGTCGAGGCTGCTAGGTTGAATCGGAAACCCTAGAGTAGAGAGGACTGAGCATGAGAATGGGGAGGCTATGTGATGTGAATGATGTACACTTCTCTGTGCGGAGAGCAACGATTACACAGTAAATTCTGGACTGCGGCGTGAGCCTATGCTGAGCAGAGATGTTGCTAGACGTAAAATATGACGCCTTATGCGTACGTGTTGAAGACTTATAATGATCAAGGTGCCCATAGTCTCACTCTGTGACTGTATTTCCGCGGTAACAGGTACTCCATCAGGCGTGAAACAAGAGGACACCATGTTTTCGAAGGCGTACAGTTTACAACTCCTAGGAACATCGTTGATGCTTTCCTTTGATATAGTGAGGGTGTCTTAGCACTAGTTTCAAGGCTTGCAATGGGTTTCTGTTCCATCGCTGGCTGCTTCGAATTTTGTCGAGGGCGTCGGGCTCCTGTACCATCGTCGGCATCGGGGACGGCAGGAGCGGTTATAGGGGGGAAGGGGGCTAAGCAGGGAGACCTCAGCTCGAGGCCTTGTCGAATGCCACAAGGGGATGGTAAGAATCATGGCATTCGTGAATTGCTTCGCTCCGCTAAGAAAAGGCTCTGATTCGTCGTATGCCTCAGAACTGACCGCGTGTCTGAGTGCAGCGCCGTACAACTTGGTGGAGACCGCTGCTGCTCACTCCAGAGCACGTTGTTGGTCAACGCGTGGTATCAATAAATATCGAGGGGATATGATGTTCGTGTCGGTGGACGATCCCATCCTTAGCAGAATGTAAGGGGAGAGTGGTGGCTGATACAATGTCACAGTGTGAGGGTTTTACTCGTGTAAAAACGTTCGGTTCTGTATGGGATTGTTGAGAGTGGCATTAAGTTAGGGTCAGTTGCATGAGCCCATTGAATGAGGTTTAATTCGTTCATGTACTCCTGAATGGGTTAGAGGCTTAGAACTGTGGCTTTCTTTCTTTCCTGCGTATCGCATAGAAATTAGGGCTGCGAATGGTTTTGTTTTTGGAGCGCTTTTATCGCCTCATATGGCACATTGAAAGTTTACGCCTATAGGAGTTGAGTCCTTTCTGGGAGAAGGAAGAGTCGTACTAGATGTCATTACCCTCAGCATTGGTATTGGATGGGTCGTTGATTATCAGGCTCATCTCGGTGTGTATCCAGCTGGGCCTCGGCGTGCTTGTATGTGATCCGGGCGACTTTGAGAGTGTATGGAAGGAAGTGGTGGAGCCCTGCTGTCCAGCTAGGTAGACTGCTGTTGTCTTCTCCTAGTGGTGATATGAGCCTTTTAGAGCTGTCTTCATCGTCTGCACTGATCGTGCTGGCCTGTGTCATGTGGTGGGCTCGAACGGGTCGTCGCTATCGAGACGAGTTGTGAACGTTCATCTAGTGGGAATAGTAGAGAAGTGGGTCGGGCCTGAGATGGACCTGTTTTGAATCTTTGCCCCAGAACGTCACTTGATAATGAGGCTACTCGTCATTTCTTCCGTAATAAGGTCACTCGTTGGAGAGTGGCGCCGGAAGCTCACGTTGGTAACCATGTGAACCCCTTGGATGCCTCGGGTTCTGGTTGCAGGAATAGATGTAGGATAGGGGGGTGTCTTGGTGCTGTTGTGAAGGAAATGTGGTATGAAAACTCGTTCTACGAGGTAGGTTGGATTTCCGTCGCGATGTAAGATGAGATGCACATCGTAGTCGGCGTAGTCGTGGTAGCGTTAGGCGTTGTGTGCCTTTCTTTACATCTACTACACTTTCCGCTCTATTGCAATGTGAATCAGCAGTGGATATTTTTACACGGACGATTATGTAAAGTCAGCGTTTTAGCGTAGTTATGTGTGCGTCTTGGTTAGCTGCTGGCACTGGTAATGGCGATGACCGAATCGAAATGGTCCATCTTATATTCGAGCAAATGTTTAGAGACTCTGATGCAGCTATGGATCATCAGATCCTCAACTTCCAAAGTGAGTTATGTAGTAGTAGTAGTAGTAGTAGTAGTAGTAGTAGTAGTAGTAGTAGTAGTAGTAGTAGTAGTAGTATGAGATGGAAATGGGAAGCCCATGGTTGGAGTGACCTTTGTTTTCATCAGTCCTTCTAGATCGGTACTTCATAGGATTTGATAGTAGTTGGGATAGTTACGGTACAAGCAATCTAAAGACCCAATTTCTTAACCACTGCTCATATCAACCTGAAATTTTGTATTGGAATACGATTGTACTGTTTAAAGATAACACGAACTTGATTTTCGGAAAAAATTATTTTTGCACTTTTCCGATCCCCCCCTATGGTGGCATTGAGTAGTAGGATAGATGATGCGGATTGCTCACTGATAGTGAAGTAGCGCCTTCCACTACTGTCCACAGTGGAAGGCAGTTCGAGGTTGTTATTAATAACTGTTTGAACGGTTGATTTGTAGGAATAGTGGGGACTTTACCCCAGCATCTGGCAAGGAGTGATGAACAACGGGTGAAGGACATTTGTAAGGACGATAATCCTCATGAGGATGCCTTGGATGTACTCACTAGGATGCACGACGAGGTTGGCCACGATGGGGGCGAGGAGTGGTATGAATATGTGCATTCAGGACACCAAGCGTGACAACGCCGGTGATAAGAACTGACTCTATTGGGAGTATATAGTCGTTGTGAATTTCGCGACATCGACGTAGTCGTGCAATTTAGCAACCATAATTTCTGCGAAAATACTGTCCCCAGCACTGAGCTATGTGTTTACGAGAAGTGAATAGGATGTTACTTTTGCTTGTGAAGTGGGAGATATATGAGGTCGTTGGAACTTGTTTGTGTTGATGTTGATGAGCTACGCACCATCTCTTGGAGGGGCGGGCTCATCCTCCTCTACTACTTGTACTATATCGTCCATGGCACTCGATCGGACAGGCCAGTTTTATAAGCTTATCAAGGATATGGACGGTAAGATGGTGTGCTAGTACTGGGCACCGGGGGCGTGGTGGACTATGCTACGGCTGTGGTATGTTGAGGAATTCATATGGCGGTTGTTGAGGCCACCAATTCAACGAGTACATAAATCAGATTCGCCATTAGAAAGGTCATAAGAGCTGAAAGCTATAGTTAGCATCAGATACGGGAAGAGCTGCTGAGGCTGTGGCTGAGCATGAAAGTAGTAGTGTGGGGTTGGCGACTATAGTAATGTTATGATGGAAAACTGCTGCAGAGCCTAATAGTACGTTTACCCATTATGAATTAACATACATAAGATATTACCATTGATGGTAAGTAACCTTATTTTATGTTTATTATTAAATTATATTATAGGTTGTTACACTTATAACTATGTTATTATATTGTCAACGCATTTGCCTGCTATTGGGGTCTTTGATGATCTGGGTTGCTCAGGTCCATCGGGATCGGCCTCGGCATCATCGTCAACAGCAGTAGTATCGCAGTTTAATAAGTACGCCAATGAGATTGGGGTAGATTTGCACCAGACGCAGATGAAGATACAGGAGTTGGGAAAACGTAGTTATTGTGCTTCGCTCCGCTGTGAGGAGAAGGACGATGTGTTCTTGGTAGTGGCTCGAGCGAAGGGAATCTTCAATGACCAGTCTGCTCGGATAAACGATTATACAGGGGATATCAAGAGAGTAAGTGACGGTGGTGTGGTATGGATGTTTAAATATTAAAATACGCCCTATACTGTGTATTCAGGATCTGGACGGGCTTAACCAGAAAATAGAGTTATTGCAGCAACATGCTAATAGGTCCACGGAGAGTACTAGGGGATGGGGGCCTATGGGGTTCAGCCTTTTCCATCTGAAATAAAATAAAATAACAAATTGAGAAAATTTCAAATACAATCTACGAATTGCAACTTGTGTTTTCGAACGGTCTACGAAATTCGAACATTCATTTTCAATTTGTTCTTCAGTTTTCGTGAAAAACTCCTTCCACTTTACGAAAATCAATTTTCATTTTTTTTATTTGCTGAATTTGGAATTACAAGCTGTAGTGAAGGAGTGGCCTGTTAGGTCGGCAGGCTTCAGCGCATACCAGTGGTATAGTGAAGACTCTCCAAACTAGGTAGCTGCCCTTGGGCTCTCCTCGTGGCACTGTTATAGGGAGAAGTAGGTTGATGGGGCTTACCAAGGACTTCAAGGATGTCTTGGAGTTGCGAACTAAGATGTTACAGCAACAGGACAGACGGTAGGGCTGGTGATGTCATTATAGCAGCTGTAAGGAGTTTAGTGACCAGGCGCAACATGTACGCGTTTTCTTCAAACAATCCCTTTGAGCTGGGTGGAAGAGGAAGTAAGTACTGTCGTTGCTATCAACGTCTTTTGGATGTAATTCTGTATCTGGTAGATATGCATATGGTCAACTATGTGTGTTGGTGAAAATATGAAATTTGTGAGGAAATTTTGGTAAATTCTTGTTGGTTTCTGTAGACTTCTACCTGAATTTATCGCAATATCCTCAGCCATATTGTCACCAACACACGTAGTTGAGCATGTGCATATTCCCTCCTCCTAGGTATGGAGATGACCGAGCGATCGTCGTTTTCTGGAGGCCCCCGTAGTGGTTTTGATATAGAGGGCGGTCGCGAGGAGCAGGAGCAGATGTTGCAGGGCCCTGGGTACTTGAATGCTAGGGCTAACGCTGTCCAAGCTGTGCAGAAGACTATTGGTAATACTCTCGAGCTTTTGCCGGTGGAGTGGTATGTATTACAACAATAAAATACTAATATATTCAATAATTACTGTATACATGGTAATTTTGGAATTTATGTTGGCTCCTCTCAGCTCAGCTCAGGAGTTTCCGCACGCACTAATTATAGGGTTTCAGATTACAACGAGAATTCCCCGAAATTCCCTCAAAATTTCCATACTGTCAAGAACAAATGTACATATTTTCCCCGCACTACTAGTGAACCCCTTTGTATAGCCAGGTCCACATGTTTTGTATATTTTCCGTACCGGTTTACCTTCAGGTGAGCTCGCCCAGATGTTCCAGAAAGTATCGTCCATGGTCTACGAGCAGGACGAGATGATCACGCGAATAGATTCTGATGTTGATGATACCATGGGTCACCTAAATGAAGGGCAGAACCAACTGTTGAAGTAAGTGATCACTCCTGGTGGTAGACGTGGAGGTTCCCTAGTGCCAAGGATCTGTTTACAGATACTTCCATAGTATATCGGGGAATCGGTCGCTGATATTGAAGATCTTCGCTATACTTATATGTTTTGTCATATTTTTTGTCCTATTTCTAGCCTAATACGGGGAGTAGGGATATGTGCCTTTTCTGATTACTAGTGGCATTGTGTTTTAGAGTATTATAATGGGAGTTTCTCGAGGAGGGGGTATTCATGGTGCTAGGTTGGCTACCTGCAAATTGCCTTCTTGCTTTTGGTTACTTATGGCTGCTACTACTCCTGCATCTGAGTCGTGGTCGTCGCCTCCTCGTAGGCAGCATCATGGTGGAGGAGTTAGTCGTAGTAAGAAGGGACGGGAGTATGACAGAGCGTGGTATGATGATGAGGAGGGCGGAGCGGCTCATAGCTCTTATCTTGGGGTCACGGATGAGAGTAATGAGAAACGCTGGGCTGAGAAGGAAGAAAGGTACGTCCTGTCGCTGTTGGTGTCGTCGATGGGAGAGATAGTGTGGGGGGGAATATGGTTTGTGTGATAATTTCATGCACGAAATATTAAATGCATATTTAAAATGCGCATGGTCAACTACATGTTTTGGTGAAATATTAGAATTCTGAGGAAATTTTGGGAAATTCTGTACACTTCTAGCCGAATTCGAGTTTATTTTCGGGGTATAGTGAGAAAACTTAGCTGAGGAAGGGAAATGTATATTCCGACACTGTTAAGGGAGTTTATGCTTTAGATATCGTCAAGACCAGGAGAAGAATCGTCTCACTCGACAGCCTCGGATGTCTGTCCAAAGCCGTGCAAGTAGCAGGGGCTACGCTCGCTACTTGAGTGTGTGATAGAGAATAATGTTAAGGAAGTATTAGCCTTTGGAAACTCCAGATGAAAACCTCAGTGATCGAGCGCTATCTTATTTTGTATTAGAGGAATAGAAGCTTGTTTCTCTCGTATCGGTACTGAGAGCATTAGGAATAGGAAGCTGAATATGGAGTGCTGTAGTGCAACACCGTTGGGTCAGGAAATCGAGATGGAGATGCGTGGGAACTGAGTCGACTGGCACAGGCAGGATTCTCGTTCAGGAAGGAGATGGCTGAGAATGTGTAAGTGGGAAAATGCACCTCACAGCGAAGAATTTCAGAAGAGGTACCTTTATTTAGAGGCGATCTTACTACTGATGATACTGGAGATCGTCAAGCAGTTGTTGTGAGGAACTACAGGCCGCCTTTTCTTGATGTAAGTCGGTGAGGAAGGGAGTATAGTAGTAGTATGACAAGTAGACTGCTGATGAAGTTTCTGTCCATAAGTACAGGATCACTAGACGTGGTTTGATCGTGGCATCGTAGACTGATATTCAGAACTAGCTGCTAGCGCGTAGAGATGGGTAGGGGTGCAGTACGTGACGTCGAGTGTTGAGGCGTTTTCTTCACCAACCATCTTAGATGTAGTTTTCTTACTTTGTGGTTGCTCATGTACTCTCGAGGAGTTTCTTTTCATAGTAACTGGTCCCTCCCGCAAACGTAATGTGGCCATTTGATAGTGCTAGGGGCTTTGTTGCCTTTTCTGTGGTTTGTGAATACTACCGTAACTCTTCCAACATCCCAACGATTACAACTGGGCAGTCTATAACCGTACATGCTGATGTATTCGGCTCTCATCTATCAGGGCCGAGTTCAATTTAGCTTCCAATTGGAGCCAGTGTCAGTGGTGAAGGACCCAACGGCAGATCTACCTACACTAGCTAAGAAGGGTTCGAGAGCTATGGTGGGTATCCTTCTTCGTGCTGCTTCGCTCCGCTGTATTTTGGGTTTTTTCCTCAGAGGCATTTGAAGGAGACCCAGGATAAAACTAAGATGCGAGAGAGGTTCTGGGAGGTGCGTAGCATGCAGTTGTTTCAATTCGGTGCTGCTATTGTCGGATGTTAATGTGTGTTAGGTTGCCGGGTCGAAGATTGGTGAAGTTATGGGAGTGAACAACAAGACCATCCAGGGTGAAGACGAGGATGAAGATGAGGTGGGCAGGCTGGGTACGACAATACATTCTTCTTCTTCTTATATAACTTGGTCGCGGCACGACCCGGTTGAGGGCCTTTTTGCCGCCAAAGTTGACCATTTATTATTAGACTAGACGGCCAAGCATCGAGGCCGTCATGTCAACGACAATACATTAGAACACAATTTCTTTATGGTGGATGAATTTGCCATCATTGGTGAAATACTAATTCATAATAACAATGAAATGTGAAATATTTTGTTTCTGAGATTTCGAGAAGGGTTTACTAACTGTTGGTGATGCATGAGTGTATAGTATTTCTCTGTGTTGGAGTAGATGCACATCCTGAAATATTCTAGTTACTGTTGTGAACCCCAGTATCAGTGTGAGACTCAACTACACAACACTACAGAAATTCTGAGGAAATTTTGGTTTGCTCTGTAGACTTCGTATGTTAGTGAGGAAACTCCTGAGATTAGCTGAGGAGAGCGTATATGTATTCCAACACTGCTCAGGATGACCTTGGTTCTGGTGATGAAGTCGATTATCGTCAGTCGAATCAGTACGGCAATGCTCTAAAGAAGCAGAAAACTGAGTAGGATGAGGATATTTTCTTATGTACGTCGGATACCTTCCTATGTTTTTCAGGGCCGTTTCTGAGTTCGCCAAGTCCCACACTATTGCTGAGCAGCGCCGGTCGCTTCCAGTTTATGAGGTGACTTCTTTGAGGTGTACTTCCAGTCATTGAGTTCCCCCGGTCTGCAGGTCCGAGAACAGTTCCTACACGTTCTACGGGAGCACCAAGTCGTGGTGGTCGTGGGAGAAACGGGTAGTGGCAAAACGACGCAACTGACGCAGTACATGATGGAGGCTGGTTACCATAAGTGAGCTGCAGAGAGGAGCCCTACTCCCACCATTCATCAATCGTTTTGTAGGGGAGGCATCATAGGATGTACTCAGCCGCGACGTGTGGCAGCAGTCTCTGTAGCTAAGCGTGTTGCTGACGAGACTGGCACGGAACTCGGCACCAAGGTGGGGTACGCTATCAGGTAGGTAGTTTGCGGTCTAGTGCTGTCGATAAGGAGGTGTGCTCAGGTTTGAAGATGTGACTTCTGAGGAGACTGCGATCAAGTATATGACTGATGGTGTCCTATTACGAGAGAGTCTCGCCGATAAGGAGCTTGATAAGTGAACACCTTGTTTGGTTGGCTGCATTATTATTTCCTTTTATTGCCCTTGAGGTACTCATGTATTATCATGGATGAAGCACATGAACGTTCTCTCAATACTGATGTCCTCTTCGGTGTCCTAAAGGAGGTGAGAAGGAGTAGACCGTCTCGTTAGAGGGTGTTGGTTCAGGTCGTGGCGCTTCGGTCGGACTTCCGTCTCATCATCACGAGTGCTACCATGGATGCTGATAAATTCTCCAACTTCTTCAAAGGCGCTCCTACGTTCAATATCCCTGGTCGGACTTTCCCTGTGGAGACGCTGTATGCTAAGACTAATGCCCAGGATTATGTCCAGGGGGCTGTGGATCAGGCGTTATCGATACATGCATCACAACCTGAGGGAGATGTAAGGTTAACGTCACGCGCCACGAAATTATAGACTGATAAATTTCGGTAATTTCGACATGAAATTCACAGTGAGCATCACTGTTATCATGGACTATCGTGGAGTGAGCATGTGGCGTCCTCAGATCCTCATCTTCATGACGGGCCAGGATGACATTGAGGCCACATGTATCCTTCTGGCTGAGGGCGCTGAACAGGTGAGTCCTTCTGCAAAGGGACGGCTATCACTGTAATGGTATCAGGTCGGGCAGACTAGAGATGGCGTGAAGATGACGATGGCTCCAATGACCATCCTTCCTATATACTCACAACTCCCTAGTGACCTCCAGGTAGGCCTAGAAGACCCTTGGGACTTATTCAGTTCAATTGGGAGACCGCTGTAGCTGGGTATTTCGTGATAAAATCCGGGAACTCATTTTGAATCTTTCATATGGCTAGGAGCATATTCCTCAATCAGTTTCTCATGTAGTTGTCATCTCATTAGGAACATCGTTTTCCTGGGGAACGTTACTTCTCTATGTTGGATAAGTCCCTGATTTTATCAGGCCAAAATTTTTGAGAAGTCGGAGCATAGGAAGATTATTGTGGCCACAAACATCGCCGAGACGTCCCTTACCGTGGATGGTATCAAATACGTTGTTGATACTGGTTTCTGCAAACTGAAGGTATATCTCTTATCCCGTGTAGTGGTAGTCCAAGGTGATGTTGTTCAGGTGTACAACCCTTCCATAGGGCTCGACTCCTTGCAGATCACGCCGATCTCTCAAGCGAATGCTAACCAGCGGAAGGGACGAGCAGGTCGAACCGGTCCTGGGGTTTGTTGGCGGTTATATACAGAGCATAGTTTCTTCAACGGTGAGTTATTTACTCCGATAGCGGATATTTTCACGCACTTCTTTGTGATCAGACATGTTGGCGAATACTGTACCAGAGATACAACGTACTAACCTCGCCAACGTCGTTTTATTACTCAAGTCTCTGGGCATCAAGGATCTCCTTAAATTCGATTTCATGGACCCTCCCCCACAAGAGACCATGCTCAACTCTATGCTCCAGCTTTGGGTTCTAGGTGAGTCCCGAAATAGGTGCCAACGCTACCACCTAACCTTCATCAATACATGAAGTATATAGATCGGCAATGGCAGATTGGGTCTCATAGAGTGATACTTCTTTATTATAGGATGTTCTTGATGTATCCTATACACAACATTAGTATTGTGAGTGTGAAAGACACTATCCAGCATAGTCCGTGCACATACCTTGCCTTAAATCGCTGGTCCTATGTGATTACTCTCAGGAGCACTGGATGATTATGGAGAGCTCACCAAGACGGGCCAGAAGATGTCCCAATTCCCTCTGGATCCGCCTCTTTCCAAGATGATCCTCTGTGCTGATCGGCTCGGATGTACGTCACCTGATTATGAATCACCGAAGATGGTGCTGTCCCTCCTCAGGTGTCGATGAGATCCTAGTGGTGGTCAGCATGCTCAGCGTACCCAGCATCTTCTACCGACCGAAGGATCGTGCAGGTGAGTCGAGAGGAGCGGAAGAGTTGAGACATCTGTGCTGCTATCAGAGGAGTCGGACGCGGCGCGAGAGAAGTTCTTCGTCCCCGAGTCTGATCATCTCACTCTACTATATATTTATCAACAGTGGCGCAAACATAAGGGGAGTAAGCTTCGACTAAGCATAGAGTGCTCTTGGATAATGTGCTAATAGGTGCTCAGTGGTGCGCTAAGCATTACCTTCAAGTGAAGGCTCTTCGGAAGGTGGCCGAAGTGAAGGCCCAGTTGGTGGACATTGTAAAGCAACAGAAGATAGAGCTGTCCTTTGTTGGTCTTGGCGACTGGGATGTGGTAGGTTCAGGTTCGGTACAGTCTATGGTAGCTGGTCTACTCTAGGTTCGAACGGCGATTTGCGCCGGCTATTTCCATAACGCTGCGAAACTGAGGGGTATTGGCGAGTACATCAACCTGCTCACATCAGTGCCCTGTCATCTGCATCCCACGAGTGCGCTCTATGGTATGGGTCACACTCCTGAGTATGTGGTATATCACGAAGTTGTTAAGACGGCTAAGGAGTGAGTCTCCCCTGTACTTAATCATCATACGACTGTTCTACAAGGTACATGCAGCACGTTACGGCGATTGAGCCCAGTTGGCTAGCGGAACTTGGCAGTAAGGTGTTTGTATTGAAGGACAAGAACACCGATCTGGCCAAGGTTAGGAAGGAGGATAAACGGTAAGGGCGAGGAGGTCAAGTTGGAGCTTTCAATCTTCGGTGTGTAGGTCACAAGCTGAGATCGAGATGCTGTATAAAATAGAGGAAATGAAGAAGAAGCACAGCGGCCTCACTCCGGAGGATAGCGATGGTGCCAGCGTGTCGGTAGACAACAAACCCGGTGGAGGTAGGGAGAGTCCTTCAATGGTGTGCATATTCTTCATCACAGCGGATGGTGGTTGCGAGACATCACTGAAGCCCCGGTTCCTTCGTCGGCATCAGCAGCCTATGCCGAGCCCGTCGCCAGCCAGTGAGTCCTCATACGCTGGGGAGGAGGATGATGGTGCTGATTCGGATCGATATGAGAGGGAAATGAAGGTGTGCTCGATACGGGTTGAAAGAGTTCAGAGTCCCACGTCCTTTGTCAGCGACGGCGCCGTGCTCCTGGTCGGCGACACCGGTCGACCTGGTCCGCATCGTCGGACCAAGCAGCGTCATCTGAGGAGGAAAGTAGAGAGACGAGAAGATGAGGCTACTTTTATTCACGTAACTGCTACTCCTCAGCACATGTTCGCCGCAATCTGTTCGTAGGTACAATGCCCGTTAGGTCTGATGATCATCGAACCAGCGTATCATTATCCCGTTACATTGTGTTATTACGATAGTCGACACACCCACTGACGTATATACTGTTGAGTTCAGAGTGGGAGTTCCATTATCATTATTCTCTGTAGAGTGCGTTGCTATCTGTTTGGAAGCGAAACATTCCGTGACGTGTAGACCAAGGAGCCTCGAAAGTGCAGCTCCCCGAGTGGTTTCCGGCTCCTCGGGCTAATATTAAATCCGATTGCTGTGATCAAATGGTCATCTTCAGTGATGTGGGCCAAGGCTTCAGTAAAGACAGATGACCGCCGGGAATAGGAGGATGACTCCATCCATGCGTATTGGGATGAGATCCGCCTGCGAGGATAATTCTTCCCATACCCCTGCCAACGGCGAGTCACCGTGCTGAGAGGCCTGCGTTCATGGTGGCATCGATCGCTACTGATTTTGGTGACCGCCTGTAGTATGAACCACCCGAATATTCTGCCCGACTTGGACATGCAATACTTGGCGCTTACTAATAGATCACAAGGATAATTCAGAACCGTATGTGCTGGTCACAAACTACGACGAATTCGAGTTATGATTGTTTCCCTAATCTGGGGTGTTGAGTTGTAACGAGAGTCGCGAGTAACAGAGGTACCATTCGGAAGCTCTCGGCAAGGGTTTCCTAAAGTTGTATCAGCCACTCCAACATCAGAATCATGTTGTAAAAAATGTTGTGTCAAGTGGAATGTTTCAAGCAAGCACGGATACGGAACACGTGAAGGGGGCTATGGCAGCTGCTATTCCTGTTACTATCACTACTGTGACTGACAACTTGAAAACATTGTGGAGGGAAATGGCTCAAGAGCTTACATGGTCAATTGATTTCAAACTCTATCAGTCGATCGACATAATTATCAACATCATCACAGATAGAGTCCGTCACCCTGTCAATGCATTCCCGTAGGAGTTGATCAGTGAGGACATCGCAGAGGTACCACGAAGTAACATCGCTCCGCTCAAGCTCAGCATCTCGAGTTCTCATCACGTAGTCGTGGAACTTTTCCTTATACCGCACCAATGCCGCTATCGTATCCTCTTCCATGGGCCGTGGCTTTGGACGCTCAGGCGTACTGTTCAATTGGAACGACTTCCGTGGGGGAGTCCCCATAGAGTCATGAACACTCGGCGCACGCGACGAGGCGTATTTGGCTGTCAGCTCAGCGATGAGCTCGTCTCGACGGTGTTCCTGGAGTTGCTTCTTCAACACAGCCGCAGTGCTCTCATAACGATCCTGGCTCGTCTGGTATCGTGACCGTTGAAGTGCTCTATGGTTGCCTAAAATACCACATGTTCGTGCCAAGGCTGGTCTGAGTAGCTGACCCTCGCAGTTGGAGGTTGGTGGTAGCTTGTAACCGCAATGATCAGGCATTGGATACGCCGTCGTAAGGGCGAGAGATTTCCAAGCATCTTCTCGATGATCTGAACATAGGACATCACCACCAGGGAAGGGACCTCTCAGTGTGTCGAGGACTCACCATCCAGTCGAGTGCTACCGTCTTGGCTAAGGGAACTCCCTGGTGTGCTACCACCTGAGTCAAGTCGTTTACCGGCAATACTATTGCAACACTCCGAAGAGGCCTCCCATGACGATTGAATTTTCTTCCCACTGCATACTAAGTACGACCGCCGATGTCTCCACCCACACAGGTACATTCAAGGTTATGTAATCCCCATACGTAGCTAGCAGTGGAGTGAGGAAGGCCATACGCTCACTCTCACTGCAAGGTATAGTAGTCCGTTTAAAGTCCAATACTGTACAAGCCTAATGGACTTCACCTGAAGATAGTCGATGAAGCCTTTCCTTCATCGATCTCATACGCCTCCTCAGATCATCGAGCTGATGATGATGATCTGCCGACCTCCGTGACACCACATTAGGTGTGAGGCCTGACCGAACACAGTCGTCTCGGAGTGCCACTACTAGTGTGGGAAATATGCACATGATCAAGTACATGTGTTGTTGACAAAGTGAAATTTCTGAGGAAATTTCGGGAAATTCTTTTTTGCTTCCTGTGTACTACTACCCGACTTCGTATGCGAATTTCTATAATAACTGAGGAAAGAGAACATGTTTTCCTCCAGCACTGACCAGGACCCTCACCATCAACACCAGAGGCCTCCGACGATCCCCCCTGTGGCAACACTAAGAGCCTCATCGCACTCAGAGCTTGAGGGGCCGAAGCTGGAGCAACGTATCCATTCTGCGAGCTGGGCCCGGCACCTAAGTGGGTACATTGAGAGCAGTTCACGGAAGACCAGCACTACGACGTGTTTGCTCTGCCAGGCTGGGTTTATATTCTCGATACTGCCTACTGTTAGGGGCAACCATAGACTCGACAATATAGTCTTTATACACCCCAAGTAAATCGAGTTCTCACGCTTTCTATCTGTGCCGACTAGAGCTGAGGGCACTACTCTCTCAAGAGCTGTGACAACGCAATAAGATTCGGCAAAAGAGTGGTAAAAGCAATCATCGTTTCTTCCTCCGTTTTGGACTACGGTCTTCAACAGTACTTAAGCCTTCTGTCTTAACGGACACTATCTCATCAATGGCAGCCACTGACTGCTGATGGTCATTCTCCTCGGGACCCAAGACCTCTTTCGCTGCTCCGGTTGCAGCTCTCATATCTCCGAGCGTTGACCTGCAACATTCTTTAATAAATGTTAGAGGAGGAGTATATGTTCGCTTTCCCCAACTGAGCTCAGGAGTTTTCTCACTGATTATAGGCGTTTATATACGAGTTAGGGTAGAGGTGTACAGAAACCAACGAAAATTCCCCCAAATTTTCCCGGAATTTTCATATTGTCACCAACACATGTAGTTGAGCATATCTTCCAACACTGCCTTTGATAGTCACCATGCCACTACAATGGAGTTTCACCCTAGTGATATGAAAAACGCTAGTGAAAAATATATTCCACGACTACTGCATATCACCGCGAATATCGCGTTTTTCACCGAGTTTTACGCCACTTGACGTAAAACGGGTGAAACTCTAATAAAACGAAATAGACTGGACGCCTTGGGACTCTCAAGAGACAGTCAACGACGCTACTAGATATCATCAAATCGTAGCGGCCTCCAATGTGGCGAGAGAAATGCGAGTAGTGTAATCCCGAGTGATTTCGTTCCTTCAGTAGTACTAAGCATAAACCAGCACCTACACAAGGTCATCCACTTGCTCCCGAGCCAACTGCAGCGCTAGCCTCTTGGCCTCGTGTTCCCGTAGGATCTCCAAGCCGTGGTACATGCTCTTCACCAACGTTTCAAACTGTCGAAGACCATCCCTACCACAAGGCCTGCGCATCTAGTGAAGGCCCCTAGTGGAAGTACCAACCTCGCAGTAGCTGGGTCAGTAGACATGCCATTGACGACGTTCCCTATGGCTTCAGGCAGCTCCTCAACCAGTTTTCCCATCTCACGTTTGAGACTCGTCGATGAAGGATCGTACCTGATACGGCAACTCACTCGGGAAGATATCGGGCGCAGGGATCAATTCAGTTTTAAGATACAACGTCCCAAGAAATTGATAAAATTGAGGAAAATGTTCCTAATGTGAGATCTACATAAGAAACTGATTGAAGAATGTGTTCCTAGCCATGTGGAAGATTCAAAACGAGTTCCCTCCCCCGGGAACATCATAGGTTTGTGGATAATTCCCTGATCGGAGGTTGCTTACCGTAGTAGGTCGCTGTCTATGTCGGGCATGATAATCTTCACTGCGGGGTTCCTACAGTTCTCCATAACTCTACCTAAGGACCATAGCATAACGCTACGACCAATGCTGCTGAGAGAGTGCCCACCCAACATCATGTACATTCCCTTATCATTGGTAAGCTTGCTGATATCATCAGGACTGGGAGGCTTGGGCCATTGGTCCTCCTTACCAGGCTGGAAGAGCTTGTAATGCGGCGGTGGGGGTGGCCACAGAATAGCTGACGGGTCCTTACCGTCTGCTACTGGCGTCGGCATGGAATACCACCAAAAACGGGGAATCTACTACATTAATAAATGTATTATCATTGTTGTTCGTTATCATCTCAGTGTCACCCGTTTTACGTGAAAAACTCGATATTCGCGGTGATATGCAGTAGTCGTGAAATATATTTCTCACTAGAGTGAAACTCCACTATTTCTCGCTGACCAATGCAAGGCTGTCTACCTAGGCGTAGGACGTCAAACAAGGAAACAAAAACGAGAGCTGCGAGGGAGCGCTCATTGGAGACTCTTAAACTCAAGGCAGTGTCACGTCCAGGGACCATGGAGACCATGATGATGATGATGCTCTCATTATCAAGTTACCTCTAGTTCATGTTCATTACCATCGGCCTTCGCACGTGTCGAGGCTAGAGGCGCTACGAAGAGGACGACTAGCGATCATTAATATCGTTGCGGTTGGTGGGGAGCACCTGACTGCGGCCTGCGACTTGGGTTCTTGTGGGGACCACCTGAGACCTCTCTGCGGGGAGGAGTGAGGGACGAGGAGGAGGATACCTGTCGATGCTGGGAGGGGCCGTGGATGGGCAGCAACATGTGAAGGCTTGAAAATGTGAAGGGTTTGGACCAGCTCCGAGTCTACCATCACCAATGACTTCACCACAGAGAGTTACCAAGCCTATGGGGAGAGGCTCGCCCCGAACTCACGTTCTTCCGACTGGCCAATGAGTCCCCGAGAGGGCGATTTCTTTAGGATCTTCACGGGAGTATCTTTCGTATTGGGGAGTTGGCTGGATGAATCCAACCTAGGGCGCTCTAGAGAGACCTTCAGAGTGAGGCCCCCCGAGCCAACTGCAACGACCTGTGAGGGCATCGGCAACCAAGTCTGAGGACTAGACTCACCACACCATCGAGCTCCAACGTCTGCTTGGCTTGTCGACAGGCCATGCTGAGCTCGGCTAGACCCCCACTCAGTGTAATATCGAGGTTCCTAACGGCAGCTTTGATTGGCGAGTTAGCTGGGCGTTTAACATAGGAACAACCCATGTTCGAACCCGGCAGGCTGATCATCTGTCCTCACTTGGACACGTCGAGTAGCTGCAGCGAGCAACCGGCAACTCCTGAGTTCCTCACTACCTACCAACACCTTCCACACTGATGAGCCTCTCCCTGAAGACTTCAACCTATGAAGCTCCTAGTAAGATCTTGCCAAGAGAAAATAATAAGTTTTCGCCTATCTAATATGGTCCAGTGGGTGTACCACTCCATTCGCAAATCCCCGAGTTCCTACTAGGTCACACCAACCCTTGCCCAGCTTACCAAGCTGAGCCATCCAGCCCCCCAATCTCCTATCCTATTACCCCTCAGGATCAGTTCCCTCACCCCAAGACCCTACCGACATAGCAAGCCTTGGTGGAGTGACTTGAGTATCACCATGGAGCTATTGTGTTGAACGAGACTCAACGCTATTCTCCTCGCACCGATGTCACCAATTCTGTTGAAGGATAAATCAAAAGTCTCGAGGGAGAGGCCCTGAGGGGAAGGGCCTCCAGCGGGAAGGGCCCCATCGTTACCCTACAGTCATTGGGGCCTTGCCTAGTTGAGTGAACAAGGCATGGACTCCTTTGCAAGTTAGATGGTTGTGATCTAACGCGAAGTGACGGAGGCTCGACCAACGGCCCATCTGGGTGCATAGCAATCGAGCCTGATATGATCTATCGCGGTGCTTTTGACCACAATTTGATCCGAGAAGTTGGACTCGCAAAATGAGAGCAAATCCAAACTCAGGCAATAGTCTGGCAACGAGTACTGCGATGTCGGTAGAATACGACTCACCTCCTGATCACCTAGTCCACATCCACTAAGCACCAGAGTTCTACAGCATGTATTGTGTGTGAGGGCATTGCCCAGGCATCGGAGCCAGACTGGGGGCAAGGGAGGGTTGGGGATATCCCTCAGCTCAACCTTCCTAGCTTGAGGTATGTTCGACTCTAGTCGGTGTAGGATGCGACGCAGGTAATCGCCATCGGAAGGGCCGGTGTGAGAGGACGGCTCGTCTAGTGCTGATGCCCATGAGGGTACAGTGTGCATGATAGGAAGAGAAGATGATGAGGAAAATCTACTACGGTGGTGATGAAAATTGTGGAACATGCAACGACAATCCGACGGAGCGAAGCACTCATTGAAGCAATAGTATTCTTGGAGAATACTGTTTCAATTCGTAGACTCTACACTGCACCCGACATGGATTGCGGGGAGGGCGATAGCAACAGAGCTTGGGGGCATATTCACGACCGTGACGTTCGCTATCTCGAGTGCTGTATTGACTTTAGAAAAGAATATATATCCGCGCGGTGGTGCATGCCGAGGAAACCACGGTGAGAGTCTTCCTTTGGGTAGGGGTTCGACGATGTCGTGTCTAGGTCGTAGTAGTATGCCAGGAGCTTCACAGTGTCCCATTAAAAAGATCTCGCCGAGAACTTCAAGATGTTATCTGTAGTTTGTACTGATACGTGTTTCGAAATTACCAGGGTAGCCATATTTGCATTGCATCACCCTGTAGATCTAACGGAATTATTGATATATCGTCGAGAGTTTTAATCACTAATCTGATGGGAACAAACGTTCGTACCCAATCACTGGTCCCAACTTCCCATCCTGTTAGTTTGGATGAGCAGTGCTCTCATAACGATCCTGGCTCGTCTGGTATCGTGACCGTTGAAGTGCTCTATGGTTGCCTAAAATACCACATGTTCGTGCCAAGGCTGGTCTGAGTAGCTGACCCTCGTAGTTGGAGGTTGGTGGTAGCTTGTAACCGCAATGATCAGGCATTGGATACGCCGTCGTAAGGGCGAGAGATTTCCAAGCATCTTCTCGATGATCTGAACATAGGACATCACCACCAGGGAAGGGACCTCTCAGTGTGTCGAGGACTCACCATCCAGTCGAGTGCTACCGTCTTGGCTAAGGGAACTCACTGGTGTGCTACCACCTGAGTCAAGTCGTTTACCGGCAATACTATTGCAACACTCCCAAGAGGCCTCTCATGACGATTGACTTTTCTTCCCACTACATACTAAGTACGACCGCCGATATCTCCGCCCACACAGGTACATTCAAGGTTATGTAATCCCCATACGTAACTAGCAGTGGAGTGAGGAAGGCCATACGCTCACTCTCACTGCAAGGTATAGTAGTCCGTTTAAAGTCCAATACTGTACAAGCCTAATGGACTTCACCTGAGGATAGTCGATGAAGCCTTTCCTTCATCAATCTCATACGCCTCCTCAGATCCTCGAGGTGATGATGATGATGATGATGATGATGATGATCTGCCGACCTCCGTGACACCACATTAGGTGTGAGGCCTGACCGAACACAGTCGTATCGGAGTGCCACTACTAGTGTGGGAAAATATGCACATGACCAGGTACATGTGTTGTTGACAAAGTGAAATTTTTGAGGAAATTTCGGGAAATTCTTTTTTGCTTTTTGTGTACTACTACCCGACTTCGTATGCGAATTTCCATAATAACTGAGGAAAGCGAACATCTATTCCTCCAACACTGACCACGACCCTCACCATCAACACCAGAGACCTCCGACGATCCACCCTGTGGCAACACTAAGAGCCTCATCGCACTCAGAGCTTCGGGGGCCGAAGCTGGAGCAACGTATCCATTCTGCGAGCTGGGCCCGGCACCTAAGTAGGTACATTGAGAGCAGTTCACGAAAGACCATCACTACGACGTGTTTGCTCTGCCAGGCTGGGTTTATATTCTCGATACTGCCTACTGGTAGGGGCAACCATAGACTCGACAATATAGTCTTTATACACCCCAAGTAAATCGAGTTCTCACGCTTCCTATCTGTGCCGACTCAAGCTGAGGGCACTACTCTCTCAAGAGCTGTGACAACGCAATAAGATTCGGCAAAAGAGTGGTAAAAGCAATCACCGTTTCTTCCTCCGTTTTGGACTACGGTCTTCAACAGTACTTAAGCCTTCTGTCTTAACGGACACTATCTCATCAATGGCAGCCGCTGACTGCTGATGGTCATTCTCCTCGGGACCCAAGACCTCTTTCGCTGCTTCGGTTGCAGCTCTCATATCTCCGAGCGTTGACCTGCAACATCCTTTAATAAGTGTTGGAGGAATATATGTTCGAGCTCAGAAGTTTTCTCACTGATTTTAGCGTTTATATACGAGTTAGAGTAGAGTTGTACAGAAACCACCAAGAATTTCCCGGGATTTTCATATTGTCACCAACACATGTAGTTGAGCATATCTTCCAACACTGCCTTTGATAGTCACCATGCCACTACAATGGAGTTTCACCCTAGTGATATGAAAAACGCTAGTGAGAAATACATTTCACGACCACTGCGTATCACCGCGAATATCGCGTTCATTACCGAGTTTTCCGCCACTTCCCATAAAACGGGTGAAACTCCAATGAAACGAAATGGACTCGACGCACTGGAACTCTCAAGAGACAGTCAACGACGCTACTAGGTATCATCAAGTCGTAGCGGCCTCCAATGTTACAAGAGAAATGCTAGTAGTATATTCCCGAGTGATTTCGTTCCTTCACTAGTACTAAGCATAAACCAGCACTTACACAAGGTCATCCACTTGCTCTCGAGCCAACTGCAGCGCTAGCCTCTTGGCCTCGTGTTCCCGCAGGATCTCCAAGCCGTGATACATGCTCTTCACCAACGTTTCAAACTGTCGAAGACCATCCCTATCACAAGACCAGTGCATCTAGTGTAGGCTCCTAGTGGTAGTACCAACCTCGCAGTAGCTGGGTCAGTAGACATGCCATTGACGACGTTTCCTATGGCTTCAGGCAGCTCCTCAACCAGTTTTCCCATCTCACGTTTGAGGCTCGTCGACGAAGGATCGTACCTAATACGGTAACTCGGGAAGATATCGGGCGCAGGGACCTATTTAGTTTCAAGAGATAACGTCCCCAGGGTTTGATACAAATGAGGAAGACGTTCCTAATGTGAGATCTACATGGGAAACTGATTGAAGAATGTGTTCCTGACCATGTGGAAGATTCAAAACGAGTCCTCCCGGGAACATCATAGGTTTGTGGATAATTCCCTGATCGGAGGTTGCTTACCGTAGTAGGTCGCTGTCTATGTCGGGCATGATAATCTTCACTGCGGGGTTCCTACAGTTCTCCATAACTCTACCTAAGGACCATAGCATAACGCTACGACCAATGCTGCTGAGAGAGTGCCCACCCAACATCATGTACATTCCCTTATCATTGGTAAGCTTGCTGATATCATCAGGGCTGGGAGGCTTGGGCCATTG